GAAAGACAGATCTAATTCAGTGGTGCTCTTGGAACTGTGATGGCTCATTCACACAGGCAAGTTGCTACTTGATGCCACTGCCTGAAGTAGAGCCAGCAAAAGGAATTCTCATTTCTCAAGGTTACAAAAGTATGTGAGAAGGAAGAATGTTTTTTCTCCCCCCAACATTTATCCACCCACATGCTGTGTTGGATGTGTATTTAATAAGCCAGCACTTACCTGTTCTTTGAACTGAATATACATCTTTAGTGCACCCCATTTGCAAATGATATATATGGCTTTATTTCTTTGATGGATTAATTGTTTGTATATACCTGGCATATTCGTGTAAGTGTGATAGAGCAGCAATGTCTAAAAAATGTCTGAAGGAGAAAATTAAATACCAGATAGCAATCCTATGTCCCCTTAGAAAGCATTTTGGGAGCCATAGGACCACAGCCTGATATTTAATTTTAAATTATATTTAATAATGCAGGGGATTGAACCTGGCACCTTGTGCACACAGACAATACACAACACCACTAAGCTACAGTCTCTCCCTTCGGAGGAGGTGCAACCCTAACCCCTTTCCTGTTTGCTGTGTTCTTCTCAAAACTATTGGCACGTTTCCACCTAGGGTGTTCCCCATAGTGTGTGGAGGGGAGCAAGTGGGGGTCCTCTTTAAATGAGAAGACAGCAAACAGAGAAATGGTTAAGCATGTCCTTCCTTTCCCTCCCACTGCTTATTTACTGTTTCAGTCTCCTAAGACTTTTTCATGAACACCATCACATACAGGCTTTGGAATGTGCATGTACAGTATGTATGTCTAACAGGATTCGTTCCAAGTCTCCCATCAATGAATTCCATTAGAGTCTAAAGGTTAGACCATTCATAGAAAATTACTTGAATGATTTATTTGGTTTAGTGGGAAAGACAAAAATAGCTACTACGATAGGTTAGTAATTTAAAAGAAATAGAAACTTTTACAGCCTGCTTCCTGCATTTCTAAGGAATTTTCTGAAACTCAGTCCAAACAAAAGCAAAGAAGTTTGGTAAATACCTTCCTTTTTGCATGATTAGCATACTTATTACTAGCTAGAGAAATCTTCAGTACCTTTGCCACACACACACACTGTGAAATTAGTGTATCAACATCAATTTACATATGTAAATGTGGGACTTATGCAGCAGCTTCATGCTGGTTATTTAAAATCCATACCGTGAACACATTTAACCTAGATATTAAATCAGTTTTTAAAACAAGATTGTTTAAGAGAAAGGATTGAAAGGTTTTTATTTAGCTATTTGATGCTTTTTAAAATGCCTTGGGCTAATGCTAGAAGTGAGACTTGGGTGTAATTCTGCGCATAGTTACTTGAACATGTAGGCCATGGGAATCATGGATGGGAGACTGCACTCAAATGAAATTTCAGCATATATGAGAGTATCCATTTTTATTCATATTTGGTACATGTATCAGCTGTCAAATGTGGATCTTGAAGACCCTAGTGCAAGCACCAGCTCAGCCATGGGCTGATAGTGACCTTGGGCAAATCATTTCTTCCCAGTCTCAGTTACCTTTCAGTAAAATAGGAATAACGGTAAACCACTGCCATTTGTTGTGCTCTGTGTAGTTCAGGTCAGATCCAAACTGCCCTGTACTCACAGAGTTATGAGGGAGATGGGGACGTATCCTACAGCCACAGAGAAGGGGAAATCATATAACTATGTTGCCTAGGGTACTCCCCAGCTTCAGATTTTATAAAATGCAAAACTATGTGCTGTTCAGGGGAAATTCACATCCAGTGATTGAAGGCTTCAGGAAAACATGAAGGTCATCCTTCCTTCCACACTTCTCTTGCACTTGACTGGATGCGTATAACCTTCTGAATTTGGAAACATACAGGAGGCCAAATAGGCTTGTTTGTTTGGTTATTTTAGTTTGTTCTGGTTCTTTTTTGTGTATTTGTTTATGTTAAAAAAATAAAAAGGGAAGCCAAATGCGATGGTGCCGAGTGCAACAGAAATGGTTAATGTGCCCATTTCTCTGTGCCTGGGTAGAAGGTTCTTGTCACTCTCTGCTACAGCTGCCTTCTCTCCTACCACCAAACAGCCTATAAGAAACTCTCCATACACCACACCTTATCACTTTGCCCCCAACTGTATTTCAAAGAAAACATGCCTTTCAGGATACATATTTTCTTTCTACTGAGGTTCCTCTACCCCCTCAGATGTTGGGAGGGGAGAAAGAGAGAGAGAGAGAGAGAGAGAGAGAGAGAGAGAGAGAGAGAGAGAGTTATTATTTCTTTCAGGCTAATGCTACAAAAGGCTGTTGAAAGCCATTTCAAAATCTATTCATGAGGAAGGACATGGGCCCTTAGGTCAACTCACAGTAATGAGATGAATGAAGAGATATGGCTGAAATGAGCCCCAGTGTAGCAAGCCCTCTCCAAAGAATCCGTCACTTGAACAAAACAGGCTGGGACAATTTAGTATCTGAGCTTCCAGTATGGTTACCATGGTTTCTACGCAGAGAGGAATAGGCTGCTTTGCAATTATATTCCTTCCAATGACAAATAACAGGGACATAGGAAATGGGATAATGCAATCTTTAGGTCTCCTGTCAGAATTGTGAGGCACAAGAGGGAGTGTTCATTTATCTCTGAAACACCCTAACAATACAGAGTACAAACTGATGTACTCTAAGCAAACTGTCCATCCATTTACCTCACAGGCTTCTTTTGTCTTTCAGCTTTGTTTCCTTTTAGTATGGAATTGATTCAGAGTTACATGATATCAGTTCAGTTCATGCAGGTCATTTTGATTCTGCTGAAAACACCCTCAAATATATGTTGGCAGTCTGAAGTGCAGACGTCCCCTGGTACCTTCTGTGCAATTCATTCAGTGCATCTTCTTCTCTCGCTCTGTGCATGCATATGCACATATTAGCAAGGAAGGACTTGTTTCATGCCCCGTTGATGCTTGAAGAAATGCATAACAGCAGTGACTGCCCTGCTGCATCTATTCAGCAGTAACACAGAAAGTAGGCACCACCTGGATTAAACTGCACTAAAAGGATTTTTGAAGATGAATGTAATCCCCTGTTGCAGACAGGAAGTATAGCAAAACTATAGCACAGTACAGAAGAGTCCAGGTAGGAGAGTTATCAAGAGTCAGAACATTTTTTGTGGGGAGGAGGGAGTAGGGAAGGGAAATGATACAATACCAAATATCACATTTGGTATTGTATCATTTTTACGTCCTGAAAAAGAGCAACAAGAGAAGGTCACACCGTGGGAATAGAATCAACAAGCAAATGGACTAAGAAAACGCTTACTGAGAACAGGACACGCAGCAGACTGAACCTGGTGAGAAATGAGAACCACAGTGCCCAACAGCTGATTCAGGTGTCCCCTGGTATGGCAAGCCAGAATGGGTATAATGTGCTATACCCACCTCTGTGATCTGGTTCATATGACATGATGACCTGCCATGGGTGAGCCCACCCTGGTAATGGTTTCTGCAGGTAATCCTGGTGCAGTTTCTGCAGGTTGGCCCAGTTTTCAAGAATGAGTCTCCCCGTGAACCCATGACTTGTTTTTGGAGTTGTTGACAGTAGAGGTGTAAAGATCAGCCAGAAAGTGCCCCTCTTGCACTCACCAGGTTTCTTTCCCTCTCGGTCCTGGTGCTGAAGTGAGTGAAGCCAAAAGCAAGTTTGCAAATGCTCAGAAATCAGCAGCTTCTTTGTGCAAACTATCCCAAGCAGAACTTTTTTTTTTTGCACAAAGAATGCAAAGCCTGCAAGTCTGAACTTTGCTTGCACAGTGGGTGTGTGGAGGGTGTGTGTCAAGCTGGCCTCCTGGACTTGCTTGGCCTTGCTTCCTGCTGGATGCCTACATGAAAACTCAGTGAAAAGTGGATTTAGGGCAGAGAGAAAGCATGCTAGAGTCTGGGGAACCAAGCTGAGGGTATCTGGCAGGCTACCATGTGCAGAGTGGATTCTGCACACATGGCTAGTTGATACTATGGTGGCTTCCTGTTTAAGTCCAACCTAACAAGGTGATTTCACCATGAGTTGCTGGGAATGGCTACAGAGTTGCACATCAAAAGTGCTGAAAACTCCCCCCAATCGCACTAACGCTAAAGGGGTTGTAAGTTGGATTTCTAATGTATCGCTGTGAATTTTTAACTGATCTTGTAATTTGCACAATATCTAGAGAATTTGTTTTATAATGTGTCAAACGTAAACGAATGAATGAACAAGTGAACTAATGAATGAATGAACAAATGAACAAACAATTAAAAATCGAGCCCATACTACAACCCATATGGGAATGACAGAGGCAAGTTTTGTGCAGAAAAGTTGCAAATAGGTTATGCAGTTCTCTACCACTATTCTTCCACTTAAACGTGAAGCCTTCTGAAGCTACTTTTGGTTGAAGGAAAAAAGCCAGTGGAAAAATACACATGTCAGGATCTGCAGAGTGATTCAGTTTCCTTTGGTGGCCTCATAGAAAGGGCAACATGCTCCACATTGGAAATTTTTGCAGGACTGGTATCAGACCTGTGGATGCTTGCAGGCTGAGGATCTGTGCAATCATTAAGACCAGCTGGGACTCACAGGGAGCATCTCAGTCCTGACCACCACAGGGCAAGTCTTTATGGTGGCTACTTTTGTGCCTGATCTGGGGGCTGCCTCCAGACTGCTAACAACTTTGATTTCTGCCTGTTTGGGACTTTGCCTTCACTTCCTGCCTTGTCCTGCCATGTTGGTATCTGACCTTTGCCTGTTGCCTAACTTTACCTCTTCATATCTCTGGGCCTATTTGATCTTGACAAGTTCTTCACCCACCTCCATCAACCCTGTTCCTGGTATTCCAGTTGAGGATGCCTGCTGCTTACATCTTGTAGTAGAAAACAGGTGAATGTTTCTCATTTTAGTTCAGATCTTTGAGATAGAAATTTCTTCTCTTCCCATATTGTACAAAAATACGAGTTGTGTACTACAAAGATGGCTTACCTTGAATGATATCTCATACTGTTCCCCTCCCCAGATTTCTAATCCTGGATCATAGCCACCGAGATCCCAAAACCACTTTCTGTTAACTGCAAACAGGCCTCCAGCCATAACAGGTGACCTGGGGAAGGAAAATAATAGCATGATTATTGATATGCATCCTTCTGGCATACTTGAAAAGCTGGAAAGGTTAATGGTGTGCTTTGTTGGATACTTATGTTATGGTAGGTTGTGGCAACATTTGGGTATTGTGTGGCTCCCACCAGCACAAGACTTGGGAAATAGGAATTTTACTACAGAAAATGACACAATGCATGTCTGAGCATAGATAGGTAGCATGCAGAGAATATATGCATTGCATGTAAACAGACAAAAAATCTTATAGTGCAATGCAAAGAGTGGTTCATGCCTATTTTCAATGCAATATTAATAGATTTTTTTCACCCTTGCTGACTTTGTCCAAATACTGGTAGACCTTTCCTATACTATGAATTGAATGGCATCTTACTGGACGGTTTTACTTAGAAAGTTGGATTTCAGCCTTATGTTTCCAACACCAGACAGTGCAAGTAAATTAAAGGATGTTTGTTTGTTTGTCTTTAAGCTTCCAAACAATCAAAATATAATGCCCGCTTTGAGCATATGCCCACAGATGAGCGCATGGCCTTTGGTACAAGGCCAGCTCCCACGTTCTACAGCCTGCAACAACACTACGCCAAAGCTGAAACAGTCACTGATGCCTTCTCTCCTTTTCCCGCTCCCCCTTTCTGTTTCCACATGTGTAATCTTGGATTGTATGCTGCTCAGGGCAGAGGTCTATTGATTAGTACTCTTGCAAAGCACCATTTGCAGGGATGGACCTATATAAACAACAGCAATGTTATCTATCAAAATAATAATTGCAAAAAGGACAGATCTTCCATTTACAGAATAATCTCTGACTAAGTCCAAACCTTTCTCTGATGGTTTTGAATGTCGCCATGGGGTTTTTTCCTGTATCGGTTATCCTCTATTTTCATTCTGTTGTAGCTGTCATGTTTATGATTTTATTTTTGCATTTGGACCTTTTCAGTTTTGCTTGTGAGCTGCCCAGGCACTTCTTGTCATTGTACACGCACGAACAAGGTGCTGCCTACTAGTAAACACTCAGCATATCCTGGTGCTACTCTGGGAGGGGAGGAATCACAGTAACGCAGTGCCTCCCACTGGCAACCCTCTGACCTGTCCCAAGACGATCCCACAGCCAGCAGCATGAAAGCCTGCCAAGTGGCCCTCTTCATCCATGAGCCACAGCAGTTGGTCACCTAGCTGGAATGGAATATTTGCAGCTGGGTGGCAAAAATAAAAAACCTGGCATCCTAACCTGGCATCCTTCCTAACCTGGCATTCTTCAGATGTGTTGGTCTGAAAAATCCAGTGACCATGCTGGCTAGGGATTATTGGAGCTGTACTCCACCACATTTGGAAGGTGCCAAGTTGAGGAATGCTGATCCGAGTCTACAGTAGACATCTTGAAGAGGGGATGTACCACCACTCCTTTCAAGGCAACCGGCACAGCACCCCCATCCCTTCTCCTCCTCCTGGAACATTCACCACTTCCTGGACCAACCAGTCAACTCGTTCTGCTGAATGCTTTGATGATCTGACTCACCGAGTTCAGACTGTAAGCCCCTTGGGGAATGGGTTTGTCAAAGCTGTTCTTTGTAAAGCATCATGTGCATATAAGGCGCTACATAAATAGGACATAGTAATTTATTTCTAAAAAATCCTTTGCATCTGGATGCTACTGAAGGAGGCACTGCTTTATTTATTTTGGTTTCTAGCAGCTGTGAAAAAAAGATATTATATGGCTGATTGGGTTCCTGCTAAAGATAGCTTTCTGCAGGTGCCATTGAAAATAATGAAACTTGATTTGGCTGAAATTCATTTTTTCCATTGGTTTCAAATGGAACTTAAGTTATCACCAACTTAAACTGGATTGGAGCCATTATTAACAAAGGCCATTGTATGCAATTTCTCCATTTAACTGCCATTTGGCCTTATTTGCTTCCTCTTCCTGCGTGTGCATGCACAAATATGCACCTGACCAACTGAAGAGAACTCCATTCAACCGGGCAGGTGTCATGATACTACCATGCTAACAGATGTGCCCCCATGTAGGATACAAATCTGATCGGCTTGCTTACAAAGAAAATTTAGTTGAGCTAAAAGGTACATGGCCAATGACAGAGGGAGCCCCTCAGACAGACAGCTACTGGTGTTATCAGTGAAAGATATTGTACAGCTATTCTGTCTTTTCCTGCCTCAACAGATTTTCTGTGGCATGAAAACAATGCAAGAAGCAGTGGGAAAATATGGAAGGGGTACAAATGGAAGGTGGCAACAGATGGAACACAGAATCTCCCACTAAAATCTGGCAATTGAGGCAGAATCATTACGTAATAAAAGCTTCATTTGTAAGCACCCTTAGTCGAAAGACATACTTTCTGCTCTCTGATGTTGAAGGTAGTATGCCTGCCATAGCATTTGTACCTGTTGCTCATGTACCACACCAATTTTTGATTCACTATGGAAACATCTGTTTGATAAGAAACTTACATGGGACAAAGGACAGCACACACTTCCTCAAACAGGATCCATTTTAGCATTTAGAGCTCTCCAAAGTGAGTGTTATTCAATTATAACTTTAATAGTTCATAACTGGCAACTTTCTCATGCACAGGTTTCTGTCTCCCTCTTACACATCCTAGTATAGATAAAGTATTTGTATAAGAACTTACCATTCTTTAAAGATAAGCTGCTGTATGGATTTCCTACAAGTTCAGAATGAAGTAATCATATTTGAAAGAGATATTCTGAGAAAGTGCAGAACATTCTCTATAATTAGCAAAGCTATCAGCTGAATGAGGAGTTGAGCACAGTGATTTGTGACATTTCCCTTTTTTTCCTTTTTATCCAAAACCTGACATTTTGTGCAATTCTCTGTCTAAACTTTTACTCCCCAGCATGTCTTGACATTTCCTGCCTTGTAAAAAGGTTTGATGGAAAAGATACAATAAAGACAGCTGACCAATTTTCAAAGAGAGCCATCACAAAGCTTGTTGTAAACTTAGCTTCTTTGTTTGTATTTCACAGTGGGACTTCAGAATAGACTAGACTGTTTCTTTTGCGAAGGGCAAAGATGGACAATTTCAAGAAACTAAGTGCCATAACATCTACTTAGATTCACACCACATGGTGACTGCCTCTGTAGGGCGTCAGATGTAGATGCAATCTATATGGAAAGAATATGTTGTTGGTTCTTACTTTAGAGGACAAGACGCAATATGGCAATAGTTGTGCAGCATGCAGTTGAGGTTTGTCTTACATTTTATTCCCATGTAAGTCTGTGGCCTGAATTTGGATTGGGACCATGGCATTCCAGGATGGTCCTGTGGCTGTGTGCACTTACATAACAGTAAATGTAAGAGAAGCCTCAGCTGCATGAGATGAGATCAACATAATCTAAAATCTATGTAATCTATTCCTACAGCTGTAGTCCTTTGCACAGTATGAATGATTCCCAGTGAAATTAGTGGGACTTCCTTCAGAGTAAGCATGCCTAAGATTGCCCTATAATAAAGCAGGATTAATAATTTGAAATTGGTTACCTGCCAAAGATAGCAAAAGAAAATACAATTTCCATTCTGTTCTTGGGAAGATTAATAGTATGTAGCTTTGTAGTAGCACAGTTTTAGGAATGCACCAGGGACAGAACCCTCTGGCTTGCAGAGTCTCTTCGATTCCTTCCAGAGATGGGGCTCCAGTCTCTCCTGACCGTGGAAATAGTCCCCTGTGCGCCACTGTCCCTCTCACAGGGCCATCCTCATTGTATCTCTAATTACAGGTCAGAGATAGCAGTCAGGATGCAGGCCAGGGGGATTTGGGTGGCACTGGGAATGACTACTGCATCCCTGTGAAGCTAGGAGGATGCAGGAGCCGTGCCTACAAAAGCTTCTGCCAGATCCCAAACCATTACTCACTTCAGAAGGCCTCGAGTGTGGGCAGATAGAAGGTATTAATGTACAAGCTAACACTCTGCACATAGCTATGCCACTAAGAGCAAGCAACAGTGTTCACAGTATTTATAGGCCTTAGGCTTAAACTCTAGCATCTCTGTTTTGCGCAGGTTGCCACGCCATACCACACCATGCAAATGCGTGGCGCACATTCTAAACCACGTTCTAAAAGGCTGAAATACTTATCCAAAGTTACTGGAAGTATGAGCTTTAAGTTACAATAGGCAAAATGTTTGGTGCCCACATCACTAGGATGCTTCTCCAAAATGAGATTCTGCTCCTGGCCTGAAAGATGTTCAGCATTCTTGCTGTAGTGTTAGTCCATACATATCTAAAAGTGTGTGTATGAAGAATGCTCATGGGTAATTTCAATTAAGTGAATCCATGGGTCCCTGACATTGCCTGGGGGGCCACAGGATAGGTCAGAGTGCCTGCTATGACCTCTGAAATGCATTTCAAGATCAGAACTGGGTCTCCAAAGCCAGAAAGCTCCTTGCTGCACTGTTGCAGGTGCTACGGTCCTTTCCATGCTGGCTGGGCTTATCGTTGGAGCCCATATGTGTGTGGGGTGTTCTGGAAGTGAGTGGGGTAGGGGAGAGGTGAAGTACCATTGCTGGCCAAGGAATCCTGGTGGTGCTTCACAGCTGCTCCTCTCCATGAGGAAGGGAAAGACATTTAGATGGCCAAAATCAGCTGCACACATTTTGGAGGACAAGGGTTGTATGGAGGCAAACATTCCCTCTGTATTTCTCCTGCCTTCTGCTGCAAGCATGCAATCCTTTGGAAAGATCCAGGCCTTGTTAACCCTCCCCTACTTGCTTCCCATTAACAGAAGGTCACTTGAGCTGCCTATTTAATACAAAGGTCACTTAACACTGTTTGGAACATTTGAAGGTCCTCCACAAAAATATGGGCGAAAGCATTCATGCAACACCACCAGTAATGCAAGTTCCCAAAGTACAACCACTGCATTTATTTCATACAACACAGCAACAAGAAAAGTTCTAGGTAACAACAGTGCCTGTCAGTGATGTTTCTTCATACTGACATCCCCTAAGATTAA